CACGTGATTAGAGCACGTGCAGGATTTGCCGGTGTTTCACAACGGTTCGTTTGACTTGGGCAATCTGAAAATCGCCAAGTCTAGGTTTTTCACGGAGCTCCACCAAGTTAGTTACGTGTGTGTGTGTGATTGAAATCTGCTGTCCAAATATCCTGTAATGAAAATGTTTCACAGGATTCCGGGATAGCTATGAATATAATTGCGCTGAGAATTTTTATCCAACTGAGTCAGCGACGTTCGTTTCGAACTGGCTTTGCGACGTTTTGGTCTTGTACTGTTTTTTCGGACCTTAAACAAAGTGAAACACGCTGTCGCTGCTCTCCAAACTGCCCTGCGTGCTAAGAGGGCCTGAATATTATCCCCAATGATGAAAATCAACATGCTGAATGAGTTGAGCGTTACGGAGCTGTTCATCAGGAAATCCACTGGTATTAACCGAGTGACACCAAGTTTATTCTGTTTACTGTGATGGATGAGTAGGAAAATCCTGGCTTTTACCCGCGTAACAATAAAGTCGACATATCTGCGTGCGTGAACATGTGGTCTTATTCCTTGCACATCGGTTGAACACGAATAACTGCCACGTGGTTAACTGTCACTGGTGAACTTCCCGACTAGGTTCTTCAGATTAGGGGGCTTTAGAACCGATTCAATCCATTTCCTCGTGTGTGGGATGTCTTTAGGAGATTCCATTCACTTAGTCATCATATCCGTACAGTCTACTTCTTTCTGCCTAAATTCTGGATTCGATCGAAATTTCTCATTTTCTCAGGTCTAGTACGCTGGAATTAAGTTAGCAAACAACGGTGAGCCTGTTGAAAACAATACCATAGTCCGAAGTTTGGAACTGCACCCAAGTCTGTCCCTTTCATCTGTAATGTTCGCAACTTTAGGTTCTTGGTTGTCATAACCAGATGGACGAAGTCAGTGACAACCGTTTGAATAAATAAAGAAAGCAGCGAACCCAGAATACTTCTGGTGATGGACGAACGCGTTAGATCCACTGACAGTGAAGCGTTCTAGTACAAACTGCAAGGTCTAACCATTAATTCAGTGTCATCTGATAAAATCATAAAGACCAGTTATGAAACATGCTCACTGAGGTTACACTGACTGTTAAATCATCTGATCTACGTCAGGGTGAACGTGACAGCCAACTTTTATCCTGTTCAGCTATCTCATTTTCCTGTTCATTAATGATAATCATGGGCTAAACTGGATATTCTGCCTCCCGGATATACGAGTTAACGTTCTCCTATCAACTAACTAAAAAGAAATTATAAATTGGCGTAGCGTTAGTGAAACGAACTTGCGTTGTATAGGCCCCACGTGTCCGCTTTATCCGGCGGGAAGTAATTTCCATCACAAAAGCCCCTTCGCCTAGTCCAAATGACAGAAACTCAAGCCTGGAAATCCGCGAACATGCGGCTGTTTGAGACTTGCCCTTGGTATAAACAGCAGGTGAATTGGAAGCCTTCCCCGTACAAATTGATAGAATAAGTAGTGCTGAATGTTTCAAATGGCTGTACCTCTGTTGTCCATCAACAAGCGTTCCTCGTTAGCACACTGAATGCAGGCGATTCTTTCTTAACTTCGGCACAATAGCACTGGAACTGAAAGTCTGTTCAGGGTACATGGTGATGAGTTCAACAATACTGAATTATCAGTAAGACTGGGTAGTTTATGATATTGAAACATCTAATATTACTAATTCTTGTTATCAGTGGTTGGGAGGATAGGATATTTAAACGGGACAATGAGGTGGTTGGCAACTGCTGCATCATCAAGAAATGGCTTTCTTCTTTCGCGGTCCTTATCTCCACCCGTTTGGAACACCCAACGGGGTAAACGACCCTTCCTCGACGAAGTGCAGTTAAAAGTGCTATATAGTCATCTAAGGGATTTTAAGCAGCTTTCTGCCAAATCGATGGGAACTAGCGTCAAAACACCTTTCGGGAGGACGGTAATATTCACTACCCAAAAATGTTCACGGCGCCTCCATTTTTAAGCAGGTTTACAATATGAATATTCTATTTTGCCCTGAGCCTGCATACTTGTTGATTGGTCACTCAATCATACTAGAACACTAATTGCTACCGGACTGAACTGAACTGAACTGAACTAAATTAGACTAAACTGTACAAAACACTGGCTGTAGTTGGCCGTTTGGGGCAACCAAACAGCAAAGTCTCCATGTGATCGAGAAGAGACATCCCACGGTTTAAAACCTTTTGGCACAGTCTCTTTGGAGGTCTTCAGGAGTAAAATTGCTCTTGGAGCTCATGGGGGGAACGCAGTGAATCATAAGAAGACAAACCCTCGTCGCCGCCGGCCAGCGCAACTTATGACGGTGCTGCAACTTCCCGGCTTGCACTGCAAATTTGAATAGCCTCCCAACCTGACTCGTGATGAGGTCACCTAATTAGAATGCCGCAGTAAACTAAACATAATTTGCTGCCTACTGAGAGAGAAATATTAACATTGGTCTTACAATCCTCCACATGTCTGTTCATGTACGATGATCCATCCGCGTGCGCGTGATTTACCTTTGTACCGAGCGGTTTCTATGTACGGTAAATACAGCGAGATGTAGTCTGCAGAGAAGCCAGCGAAGTCAGCCATTGTTTTCAAACTAAAAAGGGTCCAAGGACAAACCAGGCACCCTGTAGTAGGTCATAATCTTTCCTTTGCTGCACCTGACCTGGCTCTCGAGTCCGGCCCTCAGATGACGTTTGCGGATAACACCATTCTACTCATCACTTGTAAGTAACGTAGTGCTTGAAGTTTTATTGTTGGTGCCCGCCCGGCACGATCAAGCCGAACTCGTGCGTGGCGTTTAAAAGTTGGTCGTCTATTGTCGAGAAACATCGATATCACGCATATCATAGGCCTGGAAACAATGTCAAAAGTGTATATTTAAACAGGCGGTTTGAGTACACACTAACTTCGTGCTAAAAGTGACTAACAGAAGTGGTCGGCTTAACATAGGCCAAACACAATGCGAGTTACTCTAAAATTCGCAGGCGTACTGTGTTCCATAATGAGGTCATGTGACGCCCCAGGTACTGATATCGCTGGTTGACCACACTTCCAACTAACCACGCAGGCCTCCAAAACCTAAAGTTCAGCTGCAACTCAAATTTTGAGATCTTGTTATCCAACTAAGGACAGCGTGATGCATAGTAGTGGCGAATCACAACTTGGAACAAACGTGTAGAGTGGTTGTTGACATTCTAGTGTTAAGAAATGAAGTACGGCATCTTTCTAGCATAACAATTCTATTACCAACATTCAACTACTGCTCGCTTTCTGTCCAGCTATCAGAAATGGATCTCATATTCCGTAGGCCTGCTTCGTATACTCAGTTTTGGTTGGGGCCTTCCGGTAGAAGTTTGCGTTGAAAAGTGAAGACTTGTTTTGTAAAACAAAATAAACCAATTGTTTCAAAGAGCATTAGTTGCTTCCTCAAATAATACTTCTAAGTTTCATTCCTAATTGGGTACATCACTAAGATTGTTGTCTGTAGAACTCTACCATCATGCCCCTCTGGGTTTCTGTACTTATCAGAAATAAAAAAGGTGGAAGCTAATCGGGACAGACAAATCATCCAATTACAAAAGGCAAACAGACCTGGTTAAACCACAAATCGAGTTGGTAGGAACAGTTGTTACGTCACCAATTCGTTCTCCAAGCTAGGTATTAGGGCCCGTTGGATATTTAGCTAACTAGCCTACTTGATGAGTGACAGTATGTGACGTCGAAATGTCTATAGTTAGATGAACTTGCCTAATAAAATTGTTGCCTTCACCAAGGTTCTGTGACTCTGGCGCACGAATATCTAATCAGAATCCCACTAGTTCCTAGATGTTGCTATTAGCTTGTGTGCAGTGAAAGTCAAACAGATAACCTACTTTGATCCAGTCAACTCAAACGTGTCAAGTGAAATCAATGGAATTTGCAATACGCCCTTCACGTAAAACTTGGCTTTACTATGGTAGGCACCCTCTTAAGCGTATAAAACAGGACCATTCTAACGTCTTCGGTTATTTTCTTTGGTCAGTACGCTTCTGGTTGTTTTGCATACTACTCGTAAGCCACCTTCGCACGTAAAGAATATTGTGATTTAAATGCTAATGTTGCCATTCAAAAATTGGGACTGGGTTGAACTTCCCTTTCCGCGGTCTTCTCATTTTTTCACTGAGCAGTCTTTTAGGAAGAGGAGTTTTTCATGTATGATTCTTACTTCCACGCAAGGGGGCACAAATGTTTTGGGACTGCTCACCGGTGTGATTCCTTGACGTCGTCAAACCGATGAATTGATGCTCCGCTATCTGTTCCCTCCGGTTTTCGGGCAAATTTCCACTGACTTGTGAACCTCAAGATTTATATTTCTAATGGTCCTATAAGATGGTAAATGAAAGTTCATCCCAACCCGCTTAGAAAAACAGTCATGCAGATCTCGGAATATAAGACCCTGATTCGGTCCCATTTTGGCTTGGCGACATGAAACACTGAGAACACTAGGATATACATAATCACTCCAAAAATATCTATGAATAATGGATTTGTTAGGCTTGAATCTACGCTCTAACAGTCCCTAAACAGGTGACTCTCTCATAGGTAATAGCAAGCTTAGGGAAATCGCCTCAAAAGACAGCTGTCCTCTGGAACTGACCTTTGGGCATCAATTATAAATAACAGCATTGTTGAATAAAGTATTCACAAACCAACACAGTTAGAAAAATAGCTCGATAAATTGAGTGTCCACCAGACTAAACCTGGCCATAAGCCAAATTCTATATCTGAAGTTGCACTTAGCAAAACCCTCGCGTGCAAACAATTGTCATATCTTTGGGAAGTTCACTAAAAACACCTCTTTGATCCCAATACTTACTACCGCCAACCATAGAGGCAGTAAAATATTCGTGATAAAGTACTGCGTTTCCTTCACACTGATCAAACTTGTTCTCAAACTTTCATCCACGATTGCCTTTTTACAGATCCACTGAGGAAATTTTCGCCCTTTTCGTATCCGTTGCCTTCATCATGGGAGCGGTGAAAGACTGTTACAAAAGTAAGGCAATTTTGCTTAATTTAACTACTATTGAAGGCCTTGTTAGAGTAGTTGTCATGCTGAAGGAAGTTGTCACTTTGTAATTTACTACTCATAGGGTTGCTGAAATTCCGTCGACAGCCCACGACCGATTTTGCCCTATTTGGGGCTCATCATGTAGGCGCATTTCCCGCGTTCCCGGCAACCTCATGTTCTACTTGAAAACAAATTGCACGAAATTAGCGAATATACACTCTTCTGCAAACTAATTTGGTTCTTTCGAGAGACCCACCTGGAACCCAGCTTAATCTCCCATTCGTGATGTTCTCAGACGGATTTTCAGTAGTACATTACAAAGATATACATGTGTCGCGATATCTCAAATATCGTAGAGACTGAAACATGAGGCGGCCCGGTGCAGCACATTCAGTTGCCTGAGAACATCACGAACGAGAGATTCAGCTGGGTTCCAGGTGAGTCTCTCGAACAGCCAAATTAGTTTGCAAATGAATGAACTTGTTACTTATTTTGACCATTTGGTTCGCATCTTTTTGTGTTACATCTCCACCGTTTTTTGGCTGAAGAATCCCGTTTCACTCATGTTTCCATACAGTGTGACGGATTTATTTTGGTTGATTGACTGAATATTCGTGAATATTCGTTCCCAATAATGGTAGATTGTGTGCATACTTCAGGTCAAAGAAAATTTGTGGATTAAACTTTTATTTTCGCTCAAGTTTAGTTGCTTACAATAAAGATTAATCTTAAATTAGCAGTTACTTTTAGCTGACAGTGTAAAACAACATAATGCAAATGTCTATTTAAGTTAGCGATCGTTCATCAGTGCCGTCGTGTATTTCCTTTGCGATGCTACTTTGATCTGTGCATTTGCTAGCTCGTTAGTTGTACATTCTGTTCTGGTTGGAGTGCGAATTTACCGACCGGACGGTCTGTGGTTCGGATCCGACCTCTGCCTCTCGACTTCTCCTGTGTAGGCTTGGATTAAATGGCGGCATCCTGGACCTCGTGCTTCCTTTAAGTGGCATGGGAGCTAAGCATCGAAAAGGTGTTACAGCTGAAAGGTTACACCCTATTCTGTGTCTAGGCTTGAGACTCTCACTAATCACACTCTGCATAATTCCATGAGTACTGAGGATGAATATGCTTCTACTTGAATGTGCCATGTGATGCAATGTCCGATAGAAGTTCGAGTAATAAAATGTGATTGAAAGGCACAGGTGTTGTAAAATTATCTTTACAGACCACTCAGGTATCTGGTTTCCCACTTGTACTGTACCTGTGCTTTTAGCAACCCATTCAACCCGTCTTTCGATTCAAAGCAGATTGAGTTTTTCGTTGACGTCTCCCTAGGAAGTGACATTCGTGAAATACACTCATTTGCAAATCAATTTGGTTTTCACGACAGACTCAACTGAATCTCTCGCTTATGATATCATATGAAATTGCAAATGAGTATTTCTCGAGAACAGTCTAATCTGGGTTCAAGTAGATCATAAGGTTGACGGAAACTCCTGGACTGCGCCTACCTGATGAGCCCCAAGAAGGGCGAAATCGGTGGTGGGCTGTCAAAGAGTTTTCAGCAACTTTGTGAGTAGTTTCCATTATGAAAAATGACATTCGCGTTGCACAGCTCTGTGCTGAGTGTCTAGACTTGGGATCATAAATCATTCCAAAGTTTACATTGGTTTTCTTATTTCACAATGTTTGTGTAAGGAAATGCTAAACCTACAAGGCAAAACCGAAAATTAGGCTTTCAGACAAATTGTAAACAAGTCACTCATTTAATGATGGGTCTCCTTTCCACTAAAACCAATCAGACTCGCTCCGCTCATTTGCCCAAGTTACATTGGTTTTTTGCTAAAATTCTGAAGTAAAATTAGCCTGAGCCTCTAGGTACTTCTCTCTAGGGACCAACCAAAATGCTGGTCACGTGAGCTAAACATTTAAATGAGTTATGTTAATCGTATCTTGTTTATTTAAAACGGTATAAGGAGCGCGCATTTGTGACATGTTGGAAATATACTCTTTTGTCGGTCATTCAGTGCCAACTTTGCCGAAAGGAGACGGCTGCATTATAATGCCACTCTCAGCCGTCAGAGTGAGGAGGACTGCAAGGGACATCCTTTAAGACTGGAGGTGTCAACAGTGGTAGAGCTCCGTTTATTGACCCTGTTGGATACCCTAGATGAAACTGCTAGGCCGTTTTCATCAACGGATGACCAATATGGAATGAGATCACTTCGGTTTCGACAACTTTTGTTCGTATGATAGCTAATCTACTATCAATGCGCCCAACCATTGACCGGAGGAAAACCAGAATCCTCAAAGTAATACCTCAGTTGCGTACAATGTACTTTCCCGGCACCCGACAGGATTAGTTCGGCCGAAAAAAGATAGTACTGCCAACCTTGAAGTAGAGTCTACCTATTCTATTCCCCCCAACCTGGGTTTACCAGTACTAACTCACTGGTAAGCACACTGGAAGCACATATCTGGGTAGAAAGTAACGGCATCACGGAACACTAGATGAAATCGCCGTTCAGATCTATCCACAAGGTTTAGTCCTGAACACTTCATCGTCAAAATACTTTACTGATGGACCGAATTTCAGAATTACTCAGACTGTTAAGAAATAAAGACGCATTAACAAATGCCGTGTACTGCTATTTACATAAGTGACAATATAAATTGAATCACACTGCTCATGCAGAATAGAATTCCATACAGTCACATCACTATGTTAGCCAGAAACGCCGTACTGACTGAGGGAAAACAAGAAACATGGTGGTCGATATCAGCATTGTTTCTTTATCTTGTTTCCACAGCTTTCCAAAAGTATTACGTTTGTCAACCCCCTACGCAAATGATGGAAGCAAACCAAACGAACAAAACACTGAAAAACATTATCGGCTTTACAGCAAACAGTGCGGAACATCTCGATGAGAACCTCTCCAAAGAGGCCGGTTTTCTTTTGGAGTCGTCGAGCTGTAACAAGGAAGTTGCTCTACTCTACCTCCTGTTATTACTTGGGACAGTGTGGCTTTCGTTGTATCTCTACAACTTTACAAAAACGTAAGCCAGTCATAATCATACGTATGTTTTTTTTCAGTGCAATCCTCCACCTACAGGACTTCGCCAACTGCTTTGGCGAGACGTATCTATGTTGGGTTCGGCCTACTTTCTTCCTCACACTACATAAAATTCTAGTCTACACTCAACACTGTCAACAGTGACGACGAAGTAAACAGTACAGTTTATTTTTGCGTCAGTCATGTGGCCATCCTGTCAATGACCGGATAAAAACTGATAAGCAATCGAGCTTAGCTTCTAACACAGGTCTGTGTATTTTAAACATTTTACCAAGAAAAAAGCACGTGAATTTGTACCAAAGCGTCAGTCAGGCGTGCGCAACGTGGAGCACAGTTCAAAATTCCATAGGCGGGCTTTAGAAGCGCCTGGTAATTAATTGGTGGTCTTTAGCTGAGCAATGTTTTGCTTTCGACACCAAAGCTTCGACAGGTCAAATGAGTAAGCAGATAAGGAACCAATCAGCAGGATCTGGTCCGGTTAACACACTTCAGTCAGCTGTCGGTTAGCGCGGTTGTTCAACTATTACGCAATGGGTTTGGGAATGTCAAATCATTCTTGATCAGATTCGGTTCCTTGATCTTCCTACTCAGTATTGCGGCCACTGGTAGCTCTTGTTCGTTTGTGCGGCCAAGAAATTTAGTTGCGGGGTGAGTTTACATGGAATTTTTGGTCGACTTGTTTTTTAGATTAAGAGGACTCCTCTTCGCTGATAACTGCACGCCACGTGTCAGCTGGATGAATATAAAAACATGTCTCCATACGCTTGCCAGTTCTACGCCATCTATTCCGTGCTTGTCGTTTCACACCGACTCGGCCATAAGCCGAGTACTGGCTTCAAAATTTGAACATTCTCTGAATCGATTTTTATCCCGTCTCCAGTGTGAAATTGCTTTTATCACTGATCTGCATTCTCGGCAACCTGTCTATTTTTCTCCAGTCCTCGCCGACTTCTGCTGTGAAGTTCCGCGGGTGTCTGTCGTATATAAACCTAGGTGCATTTTCTGGCTCTGTTCGCCTGGAGACGATCCTTTCATTGCACCAGTGCAGAACGCAGAGTGTTTCCTTTGTGGAACGCTACTCATTTATTGGCCACGTCTGCAATCCTTTGAATGAATTTCGATGTCTCTGGTTTATATACAACGACAGCAGCCCCAATCCCTTCCTGTTGGGTTCACCGGTACCAATACCTTTTCCATTCGAAACCCACTCAAACTAGCCAGATATCCACCACCCTGAAGTTTGCTCATTGCTTCCATTTGGGCAGGTGTCTAATCAACATCTTTTGTTTATAGAGCCCTTACTTGTCTAATAAGGCAATACGAGCGAATACCGATTTTGGATGGGCAGACGAGTAGTTCAAAATTGCCCTAGTGATAGTTGGCCTCTTGCAAACTTTGGCGTCAAGTTTCCAACATATCTTATGCAGTCCGAGAAGATCAATGTACCCGAGACTGACTTAATCCACATGCTAAGTTTGATGCGGGGATCCAGTTCGGATTGTCACCAGCCCTGTCTCGTTAAGCAAGACGAACGTGTAATCTACATAACGCCAAAATACTCCGCGCACGTACCAGACTGTCGTAACACGTGCAAATCGCCACAGTGCAACAAACTTTGCCAGTAGATGCCATGATGAATGAGGCGCCTCGAATTGGAAGATCGAGGACTCCAATCCAATTAACAATGATCTGAAGTTCCCCAAACCCACCGAACGTAATAGTTTGACAGCCACACTGACCGACAAGACTTTTCAACTGACACTGAACTGTTGTGCTAATCGGAATAGATCTTGCTGATTGGTTCTTCGTCTGTCTTGGAACTCGAACAGCTTGTTAACCCACTCACTTGGCCTGAAGAAGCTTTTGTGTCAAAAACGAGACATTACATATACTTTTAAGGAAGAGATTTGTCACTGAGACAACCCGGTCTCCTCTGAAATGATGAGCTTGGCGCGCGCATCTGTCGGATCACGACGGGATCTCTTCGACAACTTCCTCTCAAAAAATACCCTGTAATTTATTCGTTTATGCTGTGCTTCCTGTAATATAGTACGGCAAAGGATTTTCAAGCGGTGACTAATATCGATTGCTTCAAAAAAGCTAGGTATGGGGACTTACCGCAAAGCTTAGATTGCCAGCTGGCTTTGGAAGTATATCCTACGTGGCCCTTACGTTAAATGTTCACCAGAGCGCCTAGCTGGACAATTGGATTGTATGGTCTAGCTCTCATTCAGTAATTAAATTGTACCTTCTGGGTGTTATTCACTACTTAGGTCTGTCTATGCTGTTTATGATAGTTTTCTTGTCTACAGCGAACAAAACTTTTCAATCTGTACTTCCTACTGAGGGTGATCCTTCACGTCTTGCTGGTATCATCGTGATCCTGGTACACACGCTACATTGCAAGACGTGACCATCTTCCACCGCAGCCCTGTGTGACGCATTTGAGGATTCCAAGTTTCGTTCTTCTCAACAATTAGCAGCTCCTCCACTTCTGTAAAAGCACACCGTTTATCTTCTTCTTTCAGACCCTTCCTCACCGCTGGAAAACGGGAAATCCTGACAGACTTCGCATTGCCCATAGCGGTTTTGGTAATGTCAACAGTTGGATCATTGCTGTCTGGGAATATCTCATGTAAGTTGGATCAAATATCACTACCGTGGCAGTACGTTCATAACAGGTTGACTAGTGGCTGAAAAGCTGTAGTATCGGTATTTTTCTCAGCTTAGTTCTCGGTCTGAGGCTCCAAAGCTAGCGTTTACGTCAAAACAACCACCAAAGGTGCACAAGGTATATTAACACCCAAAACGAAGTCAGGAACACTTGTACAGCACTTCATATATATAGCGTAGACGGCAATAACTCTGGAAATTCTGGCGCGTTCTGAATGCGCCATTGGCAATCGGCATTAGGCCAATACTGGGTAACGATTGGCTGTTGACTCCAGGCTTTCGACCAATCAGACCTCGCCTTGATGCCGGACCGGCTAGCGTCCCGAATTCTTGACCAATCTTGCGTGGGATGGACTTCTCGGCCGTAGCAGCACCTGACTGTGAGCGGTAAAGAAGGATCCGTGTGGAGTTCCGCCTAACAAAAGCACAACGATAATTGCAGTATTTTTGGAAGTTAACTCTTCCATCACCGTGGATGATCTTTGATTACTGAACAGTGATGATCGAAACGCTGAGTTATAAAACACTGTGGTCATTTGTTTTACCATCACTAATCAACCTTAACAGAAGGGCACACACAGCTCACAAATGATTCGACCTCATTCATATTGAACACGGGTCGGAAGTTCTAAGGCTCGGACTAGCCAACGGAGCGAAATCACAATAGCAGTGGCTAGAAAATCCTGCTAAATTTCGCTAGACATTCCCTAAGTTCGGTCATTCTTCCACTGCGGCCTGTCCATTTTACAGATATTCGGGCAGACTGATCTGTTGCCGAATTCTGGATTGTTTTCCATTATGACTACCACACGGGGCCCATTAACCGTACAATGCTCTTAACCGCAAAACCTTTAAGAGCAGAGTAAAACATTTTGCGCCAAAATGTTGAGTTTTGTTGCGTATGTGCTCAAACCAAAAACCATTCTGATCCACTTGCACATCTTTGCAGCTCACCAAATTTCATTGTCCACTGGAGAAATCGTACCTCTGGGGGAAAATTCTGGTGGAATAATTAACCAGCATCGTTGAGACACCAGAATGTCTAAATGGGACCCAAAAGTTTGGACTGGTACTCTAAACTAAGTTGTCCGATTATTCCAGTCCATTAGGGACACGTCATAGCCCTCAAAAATTCCATTCCACTGTGCGAATACTGAACGCCCTACCATACTAAAAAGTACGTAAAAGCATTGAAAAACATTGCCTAGTTGCAGAGTGCACCTACCTTTCTTGCAATGACCTCAAAAAATGTTCCTACTACCTACTGGGGGGCATATAAAAAGGTTTTGTGTGGGATGGAATCTAAACGTGTCAGTGTAAGAAAAAAGGTATGCATTTCTTTTGTTTTCAAGACGCCGTGTTTAAAAATTTGCATTAATTTGTGTTCCACCACTCTCACCGAAGTCAATTTTATAAGTCAAACCAACTAGGGCACAAAAAGATCTCCGACAAGCATACATTTCACAGGTAAGATCCGGGCAGTTAGGGATCTTACACGACTATTGCGGCTATCATACTATACGCAGTTCGGAGCCAGTAGACAATGGGAACAAACTGACGAAGGCAGCAGATGATGTGTTGAGACTTGACAGGAACTGGTTCTATAGATAAACGGCTTAATGAGCATCGTGAATTAAGCAAACGTACAATCAATGGTGGCGAAATTAGCAGGAGCAAAAAATGGTCAGTGAGACAGCGAGGTTAGTGGAGTCAACAACAGGTAAGCACCAGAAGATGCACAAACGTCCAGATACGGGAAGTCTGTCAGTATGAATAAGCCATACTGAGAGAGACAACGGCGCAAAAGACAGTCAGTACGTTCTGAAGGTATGGAACTGTCTTTGGTTGACGGCAGCTCGTGTCGCGTGACAAATCGTATTGCGCGCGTAGGTCCGTTTGAGACAAATCTCCCCAAAGGCTATCTGGCAGGTGCAGTATATAGGTACTACACAAAATGGGGCCCACTCATTATCGAGTTGTTCTAGTGGACAACACGCTTGTCCGGCATTCGACGAGCTCGGAGTTCGGTCCCCGGTCGGTCTGTACTTTCTGTTAGAGAGAATGCTCGAAAATAGGTAGAACTGGAAGAACTTGCAAGCAATGATGGACGGACAACAAAATATTTACATCAGTTACTAAGGTATAAGCAGACCTTGAGTCGGAGAGAAAGAGGGTGAAACGAGCAGCAAGGGAAAAAACGGAGTTATACGGGCGTAATTCACGTTACTCATGAGTAGTCAGTACACAAGAGAGAATGACTTCAGTTCACCGTTGATTCACAGGGCGAATCAAAAGTACATTTGTAGTGCCATATTATCCAGTTGAAGAAGGCCCACTTTATACATCATCATCAGATAGTGAGTTCAATTTGGATACTGACTCTTCAATGTCGTATAACTAGAGGGCTTATCCAATTATACTCAAAGCTGGAGGCGGCTAGTGCTGGGCTACCGCAAGCATCCTGAGGTGTCTACACTCAGGCAATCTGAAAGAAAACTAACAGCACGGAAGCCACTGACACCGATAAGAACTACATCTTGCATTTTCTTCAGCCCCAAGTATGGAACGTCGGGGATCCTATTCTGAAAAGTGCCAACAACCCCCAAACCACTCATAGTCTACTTCTAACAAGTCACATATCGTCCAAATAGTTTATTCGTTATTCTAAAGGAGCCGCGGACGATAACATTCGTTTCAGTAGACGTGTTTCGTTATACATGGCAGGTGGCCCAGGTACTGCAGTTGATATTGCTGAATGTATTCCACGACTGAAGTACCCGCTACACATCCATTTTCTAACTACGTCGCTACGAATCCACTGTCGCAAATCAAGTGAACCATACTATTAAAAAATCCGCACTCAAATCCGTACAAATGAGGTCACATAAATTTTGCGCGGTTGTGACATCTGCTGATTGATTAGTGAACATAGTTGAGTAGTGGAGTGAAAACTGCAATAAAGTAGAGTTTTCTCATGACTCAACGTTCCGAGGGTGATACCTCCGGGGAGTGTTCCGTTCAGAGAGGGACAACGGTTCTTTTGAAAACGATAGTATTGAATTAAGTGATTGGATGCCTCTTCGAAAGGTGATGAAACGCTTGCAAGTCAATTGCCAAGCTTGGCGAACAGACCAACAGCCACCTGATCAACAACCAATAAACTCCCCGAGCTACCAATATTTCAACACGTACCGATTACGGTTTGTTGTCTTCGTCAGGAACAGAGTACGTCGTACCACAAGAGCTTTACAAGAGTAACTCAAACTCAAAAGAAGAAGTCTTTCTACATGAGGCCCCATTTAATGGTGACCCGGTTGCTTAACTAATTACCACATGACTTAGAACCTCTGCTGATACGATACGCTTGGCTGCTTATCTGTGTTTGAGGTTAAATCCCAGCCCCACTATCAGTTTCCGCTTGAAGGACAAATTGTCACATTTTACCAACAGCTTTTGTGTGTACTCATTTGTATGCTTGTGTCAAGCATCATATGTTCGTCGTATGACAAGGCATTTGTCAAACAGAATGCGAGCACACAATCCCGTGTCTCTGAGTGTTAGTTGGAAGAAACCAGGCTCAGGTGCGATTGCGTCACATTTGGCCGAGACCAGTCATAGCATCGACAAATAGCAAGCCATCGCTCTCCTATACCGGGTAACTCTGAACCGAGCAAGACTGGTACGATCCAGACTACCATCGATCGCTAAGCCATTTGGAATCCGACTGCTGGATCCGACCTATGAACTTGAACTGGCCTGCGAAAAATCCAGTCCCACAAGCCAGCATGACATTGAAGTCATTTACCTGATTCCGCGACCCATTGATCTCTGCTTCATTCAAATTTCCTTCTTCCCTTGATTTCTATTTCTCCAAAGTGTATCTACCCGCGATTTTGACCTTTTTCATGTGATTTCTGGTACCATATAAATTTGTGGTGTATAAGCCACAGAAAACAAGCTTTGTCCGCTACCTCCATTGTTCTCGTGACTTGCATGAGTATACTCAGCCAATATATCCCAGTAATTTGTTGCCAACTAGCTATTTGGATCGGTGCGAGTCCATCGTTCATTGAGTCAAGCATTTCACCTTGTTTCTTGGATAAATCTCCCCTTTATTCTATTCACATGAGTATAGGCTTCCTCCCGGAACTTTCTGAAAGTGCTTTTCAAAAACCAGTCAATGAAGCATAATCATTTAAATTCATTCTAAAGACAACAACTGTTCCGCACCAAAAAATCTACAAATTTCCAAACCATTCCAAGTGGCAATTGAAAGTTCTTTGTGTTCAACCCAGGTAGTTCACGTTTAATCTTTGTTCAGATTTGCGTGACCAGTTGTGAATTCTACACACTCCAAGTCCTGAACCAATTTTCTCTCTCCTTGTCACAAATGTTTTGCAAAAACATGAGGACTGCTGTCTGTCACCTGTTATTATCCAGCCGACGTGAGACATGTCCCAGTAAGACACTCCCAAGTCGACATCCACCAAAATATTTCACCTACTTTCTATTTGAAATCAACTGATCGAAGCGCTCCTGTGCATCTCTGGGTTGTCGAAGAACCACCGGAAGGACAAGCCACACACTCAGCCCGGTCTTGAAAGAAGTAAAGGTGCATAACCTGTCCAACCTGGCGTATAATATGGAACTACTCTCCTAATCCTGTGTTTCAGTTTTGGAGCATTGCGGGATAGGTATTTTGTCCATAGTCACACCACTCGCGTTTGAACGGTCGTCCTCCTGTTCTGGCGTAATCAGTCCGGTGGGTCCACACCAAAGGAGAGCACTGAACTCGAGTCTCGCTCTTATTAGAGCGAATCAGCAGTGCATATCCAGTGGCCGTGCCGGGATTTGAACCCCGGACATCTGACATGCGAGTCGAGCGTGTAACCATTATTCCACCGATGGCGAACGATGACCCAGTAACTGTCCTGGTTGTGACCTTCGCGGCGGAGTTATTTATTAGACGCAAAGCAAAATTCCAAGAATAACACATACTACTCGCATGCCTCCCCGTCAGTAGTATCACTGTTAAACCCGTATACAACACAAAGCAAAGCTAGTTCTAAATGTTGTACCATTGTCCGCCTAGCCCCATCGAATCCGTCTGATCTTTCTATGGTCATTTCAAAATGATGATCCGACTTTACGTTGGTGGACAGGAGCAAGCTGTTTGATGACCTCTTTCAAACGGATTTTTGCTTCCCAGCGTTCATTATCCTGCCGTTTGGTTGTAGGTTTCTGTTCGTTACCACCAGCATTACTCCACACTGGCTTTTCTGCTCAACTTTTTTTGTGTAGACTGCTCGCCCCGTTTGAAAAGGCCTAAACAATATCGCCTTTGTGGAATGCATTGCTTGCAAGTATTCTGTGGCATGTAACACCACATTACCAGCATGTAACAGTGTTGATCAGAGTAGTTTACAGGGCGCTGCTGATCGCCCGTGTTGAGTTGTCGAAGTCGACTCTCGTCTCACATGGGTTTGATCAACTGGTTACACGATGGTCCACCAATCCTAACTCCATAGCGCCACCAGTGGTGCGCATCTCATTCCGTATCCATGCATTTTTTTTTAATTTCCGGGGCATATATCTGTTTCCCCCCCCCCACCTCCTTACCCAGATTAATATGTCAAAACCTGGAAGTCCATTTTTATATGGTGCATATAGGGTGATTCGACTCGAACCAAGTGGCTACAATTTCCTCACGAATAGGCCGTAATTTAACGTTCCCCTACCGGAGTTTAGTTGAACCTTTCGTCAAGGCGATTGGGTTGATATCTTGCTGTGTGATTTGGATGACCACTTCCTTACCATTAGCCTGAATTTCCAAATTAAGTAACCGCCCATGTCCTCAGATTCGCGCACTTCCCTCACGCAGCACGGTCACCTTTCCTAGTTAGAGTTGTACCTATGCTGGGCATCCACACAGACTGATCTGAAGCGAAATTTTTTCATCAGCCTTCTTGAGCATCACAGCTCACTGAAACAATGGCAAGAATTGTGCTTGGTTGTACACTGGTGTCAGCTCAGCCGCTAAAGTGAGTCATGAATCCGGGAGTCATTAGCGTCGATCATGCTACCTAGCCAAGGGCAACTGCACACACCTATAACTTAGTCAGCCCAACAGACTAGCTTTCGTTTTGCGTGGCTTGAAGGGGAAACCAATATAGTAGGGCACGGGAAATTGGACGCAGAGAACTTCCTGCATGAGTGAAAGTTTGTATATGCACTGGAAATCGGGTTGTGACAGGCAACACACTTGTCTCCGGAGGAGCTAGAGGAAGAAAGGAGAGCCCGAGAAAACTTGACCGCCGTTCAGGAAAGGCCTAGGCAGAAGACAGCAAGCAGAAAGGCACGAACATTCCCCATAGGCGCGATTATCAGAATCTTGGAAGCAGTGGACTGGGGTCGCGGAAGCTAGGCAGTCGATGGCAAGGGCGTACGTCGTTGCCGACCGCCGGGGGAACGTCTGTACAATTAAAGATGGTCGGGGATCGAAAAGAGTAAATAGGACGCAGCTTCGTAAGTGGCATGATACACCCGAACAGCAGCCGAATAGACTCGCTGCCAAAGCCGACCTGACTGAGGTAAATGAAAATCGGTTGCATGCGAAGGACCTTTAAAGTGGTAAGGTGTGTAATGGTGACACTACTGATGGAGGAGGCATGTGAGTAGTATGGTTTCTCGTAAATCCGCTTCGCGTCTCTTGAAAAGTGAGATCTATTACGGAATTTGTGGAGTCGCTGGGATTTGAGAAACAGTCAATGAATATCCAGAAAAGTTCAGAAAGACGCTTTCAAAGAGAGGATTGATATTCAGTTTTTGTAAACATGTGAGAGTTGGCTTCCCTGTCCAATAGTCTGTAACTGTTCACTTGGCATTTTCTAATAAACAACTTTAAAGAGACGGCCCTCTTCCTTTCATTTGGTAGATGAACTCAGTGTTTGGATGAACACGAAAAACAATCGGAGATTAAGAATCTGAAACTGACAGGTATTTTATTGAAATCGACCGGTCCGCCCCATCGACGTAGCTGAACGGATTTCCTGGATTTCCCTCTTTGTCTCATCATTTCGAAGAGGGACAAACCGAAAATTCAGGTCTTTACGTTCTGCATCGCACTGACAACATTTATTCTTAAAGCGACAAAGTTCTGCAAATTTGTCACCTGGCTGTGCGAACAATCCAACCACTAGGGTTTGATAATACGGTTAAAAACACAGGGAGAAAACTCACGGAATAGTTGGTAGAAAACATTGATTGAAGGGTTAGACAGATCTGTTTTGACATATTCCAACGAACTGTCTGATCTGATAAGACCTGCGAAGTGGTCAATTGAGGCCGAAACTCAGAACAATCGCTTCACCCACTTGGTGTTTGGCACCATCGTTTTACGTTTCGTTTTACACTTTCGCGCATTCCATTGGAAACAACTAATAAGGACTGATCCAGGAATTCAATAATTGTTTGGGAAAATTCCGTTGGGAGCGGGTGTTCTGGAGTACCATCGTAAATTTTCCTCAGTCCAGTTATTTAGCCCATGTACTCAATCCCTCCAGTGGCTCCCACTAAATCACATTATGACAATTTGGCACATATTGGCACCTTTCTGAAATCGGGAACTGTACTAGATCTGACACATATACTTCCAGCTTCGCCGACCTTCTCCCAAAATTAAAACCTTAGGCACAGAATGAATTGCACTACATTGTATTTCAAACAGAAGAACGAATTACTCACTCATCTTAAGTGGCCGTTTCCTAATCGACCTCTGCAAAACCGTGTTGCTTCACGAAAGAATGCATTGAAGGTGTGCGACTATATATATACTATACAACACTGCTATATAACATTGAAACAAACCGAGATACTTTCGAATTCTGGAAAGTCCTCGAGGTATCTGTTCGGCTTAATCCCAGCCAGGTCATCCACCGTCTTCAGCATGACTGTGTAACCTGTTGGGCGATATTGTTATGTACCGCTTAGGCTTTCGCTAGACCTGAACTCAGCCATTTTCCTCCAAGTGTCTTCACCCCCAGGTTTTTTACTGATGGACTGTCTGCTTGTTTACGTTACCCCTCTTATGCGGTTCTTGTCTTCCCTGCACATTCAGTGGAACCATACCTGCACTCACCGCGTGACCTTCAGCTTTCGCTGACCCCATTGACTAACCTTGATTGGCGTGCAGTTCTGGGAGCTCTTGGACTTGCTTTGCCGTTATCAATGCTGTTTTATATGGAACAAAACATTGCCAGCGCTATTGTAAATTCGCCTGCAAACAGGTAAGTGTACTTTCGGCGTGAACCCTTTCCCTTTTTCATTTCTCGAAACCCCCGTCAACCGAAGTGTGATGCTATGGTTGGACAAGGAGTAAGAAACGGCTGGAGGTAAAGATGCAACGATTCGATAAGATTCAGTCATACAGATGGTTTGTCGTTGCTGTGACCAAGCTTCAGGATGGTTATGGTATCCTTCCAATTAATGGCTTGGTTAGAATTCGTGTAAACGAAGCTAACAATGGTACATAAACAAACGGATCATCAAAATGTGTGGTGAGTATGCCCTCTACAACCAAATCAGAAATAAATTCAACCTAAGGTAACAATTGCCTTCGAGATGTCTTTTAATGTTTTAGGGGGCTGATTGCATGAGGGTATTTGTAATGAGGAGAACGGCTGATTTGCACAAAGATAGCGGACTCTAGCTGACTGGCTCGGCAAAAAACGACCGTTCAGAGGTATGCTGTGGATCAGTTCTTTGAGCTACGAATAGACAAACAACAGACCTTAGAAAGTTCTTTACCAGATGCCTTAACCACACCGGATTCAGTGTATCTACTCCAAATGGAATTCAAACAACGATTAAGGGACTAAGTAATTAGTAAAATCTATTATTAAGCAGTCAAGTGGGATCTGCCACCCTAAACTTCATACCACGTAACCAGTAGTGGAAGTTTTTTGTTAGGTCACATTCACTGTATCCAGCGAATTATAAGGCTGTCTTACTCTAGACAGGACACCTTAATTTACTGACAAAAAGTTGGCTGTACTGGGAGTGGTCTTTCTTGAATGTGACCTTTCTGCGAAGGGACAGTATGATTTCAACTTTCGGAAACAGAAACCGTATGGATTTGATGTGAAGTAAAAAGCTTCATAAGTCACACTTAACGTTCATCAGTTTTATCGCGGAGCATTCTTCCTCCGAAGGAGACTTCAAAAGAAGGCAATTTCAACTGGCACTTTGTGGTGTACCCAAACGGTACATTTCTTCGAAAAAGAGATCGCACGTCGACGTTCACTGCACAAAAGCTTCTCATCTGTTATTTTTCTCCTATTTTGCAGCTTCACTTAGGCTGGCAATTCCAGATACCAAAAACACAAGCGTACCCAGCAGGACAGTTTGATTTCTTACTTATCTACCCTAGGATTTTAAGGATCGCGTCCGATGCTTGCATTGTATCCAAACTGTTTGAAATGAACCCAATCCCGGGCCTGATCAGTGATTTTCAAAGTAAGAAAGCTTGGGAATGTTCTCCAGTATGTATGTAGTCGTACATCGGTTAGCGAAATCGGGACTCAAAATTCAGATTGATACCGAAATTTTCCAGGTTGAGTTTAGCGGCGAATTCTGATATTTTCCTGATACGACGCCTTGAAATCGGGCACCATAAAGCCAAGTCAGTTCTCTAAAGTGTCGTTTCTCAAAATGCCATTCTCTAGAGTGAACCCACAATTAACACTGACCGTGATAATTGAAGGTTGATTGCCCCGCCTGTCTCCCTTCCACCAAAAACGTTGTGTTTCCTGAGTGGATTTTATGGATGGCATCAGAATAAGTGTCAAACGGAACTCCCCCTCTGTTGTATCCTTTAATTACGTGCTGTGTAGAAGACAGCTTAATTAAAAAAAGGCCACAACGTCTGACACATCAAACTATTCCTTAATGTGACGAAATGTGATTGGGGAGAATTCGGGGGTGGGGGGTACATTGGATTGGTGAACGGAAAGGAGGCTAAACAGAGGTTGCACTGCTGGAGACTTGTAGGCTTTGCTTTGTCCGGAAATTCCTAACAGCCTTGGATTTATTAAACATGTTGTGAACACGCTTCTGTTGAACAACAGTTTTCTGTTTGTTCTGTGTACCTTAACTGCTTGACATGAGCATTCCCCATCGTTTTGTCCACTTTCTGTCGGTAGGCTACGAAAATCCCCAGCTCCTCATTGGGATCTGATGGTGGTCGCACTGATCAACATGGTCTTGTCAATATTTTGTCTACCTTGGGTTCATGCAGCGCTTCCACACTCTCCACTTCATATTAGAGCCCTGGCTGACATTGAAGAGCGCATAGACATGGGTCAGCACATTCGACAGACGTGAGTTTCGTGCTTCATAGCAGTAATTTGTTCAGTCGATTCTGCCACCGTGAGTTTCTCACTTAATGTTCTTGTTCGTCCAAAAGCTACTGTGTTTGAATTCACATATGTGATGAATACTTTGAACACAAGAACGGGGTGAGAGGGCCCGGGTGGTTGGAATGCGAATTTACTGACCGGAAGGTCCGTGGTTCGAACCCGACTCCTGCCTCTCGACTTTCTCTGTCTAGGCTTGGGCAACCTGGCAGTATCCCAGCCCTTGTGCTCCCTTCGTATGGCATGAAAGCTAGGCACCGAAAGGGCGTTAAAGCTGAACGATTATTATTATGATTATTATTACACAAGAACGATGAGACCCTTTGTTTCACCCTATTGCAAGGGATATTTTTTTATAAGCAAGTCGGTTTAGACATCTTGTAATAAAGCATTAAAGTTCCTTTGTGCTCAATCTCACGCGTGCGGTAATGTTATTCAAAGTAAGCAGTTCTACGCCTGGTTTAGTTATCCTTTTGCCACATCTGTTGGTTCACTTTCATTTCTGAACCTCGAACGTTTCTATGTCACCTGACCTGATTGATTCCTTGACCTTATCTCTTGATTCCACATGAAGCCGTAAAGTGTCTTGTGAGGGTTGCAGGTTATTACACTTCTCTTTTTGGGGACAATCAGTTGGGTTCGGTTGGAAGCCCAACAAGTTGAAGCGTTCGTAACACATCATGAGTAATTATTGCGGAAAAGTAATAGGCCACTACTGAGCCTGGACGCTGAATTTGTCTTATTGGAACGTTTCTCTTCTGATAATCGACCGGTAATATATCATCCATGTTCCTGAATTGTGTGTACGTGCATTGTTGAGAGTACATCTTAAATAAATCCGTGGAAGAATCTACTGGTGAATCCAGATGGAACCAAACCGTCACACCTAGGTCTTTCCCACGTGCTACTGATTGCTGATGTGACGTATATTGTCCAGTGGAGGAGAACTACATTCAAACTATTTCCAAGCTATCTTTTAATATATGTGGTATGGGAACCTCTCAAAATCTGAGGTCAGTACACTATCGATTTCCCCTGTTTGGGATCTGAGACTATCGGTCTCTTTCCTGAACAGGAATTGAACCGAAGACTTCTGATCTCATAAGCACAATGAAGTTCCCGGAACCGGAGACTCGGTGGAGTCCCATGTGGTCAGTCACATCTTGTTAGTACTCTACACATTGTGTAGTCTACATGCCACCCCGAGATACCGTTGTAAAGATATTCAGTTTGCTAAGTTTCTATTGGTCATTATCAGGACTCACTCACTCACAAGATGTTGCCGGAAAACAGAAAGCACTTATTCAAACAGCAGTACTCCTATCCTAGTTTCGTTATTCTTGTCTGGCCCACACAGACAAGCCAACTTTATCACTGCTGGAGTGAATACATTTGTAGGTTCGAAGAACGAGGCTCGGCTCACCCGTTTCGCTTGAAAGGCCGGGTTACTGTCACTCACTAGTACAAACCGTGCAATATCGACCAATTCTGCCCGTACGCTTGCACTTCAGGGATGCGTGTAGGTCAGCTGAAGCATTAGAGTATATCAGTATTCCTCGTCTTGTGTGGTGTTTTATCAGATCTACTTTGTCACAATCTATTTACCTTTCTTGCAGCATCGTCCGTGTTCGAGAAACGCGACTGACCACAATAATCTCGCACATATTCATCGGACTCTCTCTACTAATGATTCCGATCCCACTCTGCTACATCCCGCCAGCTGTGCTGATGGGGCTATTCGTCTATATGGCTGTCACAGCAGTCTACAGTAATCAGCTGTTCGAAAGACTTTTACTATTTATCACGGAACAGGTAGGTTCTATTGATATTTTGACGCTCGTCAGGCCAGTCGGCCAGCTACGCAAAGTGGTCAGTGCCATGTTTTTGCGAGATCTGTGCCAGCCCTAGAGATTCATGTAAAGTAGACTCTCCGGCTCTGTCCACCGAACTAAAAACTTTGAACCACTCAGTCAGCAACCCAAACGCAAACAGAGTTTTGAGCTGGAACAAGGACGTTATTTCGTATGTTTTCTGTACAGACCCGGCGCACCACAAAATCAATTCACTGGTAGGATGATCGTGCTGACTTGTTTTGTCGCAGCTGACTCCATTTCCTGCTACGAGTAAAACTGTAAAAAGCATCTATCCGAGCAGCAGTTGAAACTCGCCCTCGTCGGTGCAACATGATGGGGTTCGGCTGATGCTGCGTAAAGCATCACACCCTGGAGGTGAGCATGGGCCGCTGCAAGCTCATTCAGTTCGTAATCGTTTTCTGCAGCGACTGAATTGATCGCGCTTGAAATGGTTTGTGAAGAATAATCGTTAATGAAAACTTCATTCGATTTGACTGCATTGGGCTGGAAGTGGGCGAACATATCAACAGGTTTATTGTCCGGATGCCTGTTGTTGGTCTAAGTAACCGAACGTCATGTCAATTGGCGAATGTGCCGCGAGTCAGATGAGCACCAAACGATGACAAGCCCATCAGGATCGAGTCTTTATCGCTGGGCACCACCACCACGAATAGTATAGCCCGGTCTTGTGGTAACACGACATACAGCCCTACATGCAACTGTACCAGTTTGCCTTTGTCTTCATGAAAGACCGTCTCAAGCTACCACAAAACACAGGAATGCGAACGAAGCGCTAGTCAAAGACTCGGCGACGGAGCGGCATGCGTCAGACAGAGCATACACTTCAGATCTGGTGAATCCAGAAGTCTTAAGACGGATATTGGGATTCGGTGACCGAAGCGATGAAAATCACGAAGCATCACGTTGTGAATGGAATCAAGAATTTGGAAACGGTGGGCTTATCGACAGCAGGCTTATGTAAGCCAAGTTGAAAAGTGACGGTGTGTGGCTCTCAACGGACTTAGAATCAGAGAAAAATGAGGTAGAAATTCCAACCAGACCAAAGCCCACCGATCCCCTCTCCCTTGAATGACAATCGTCGCACCAGCTAATCCACACGGCTCGCTGGAAAGTGTAGATGAATTTCAAAGGGGATTTTCACCTGAATCGACACACCAAAATCCATGAGGATTCCCCACCCAAAAGAGGGTTACTGATGGTTAATCTCGAGCTTGCTGGTAGTGACTTACCTGCTTGTTACGTGATTTTAAACCTACTTGCTCTTCCGCCGAATTTGAAGGCCACATGCTAAAGCTAGCAATGCGCAACGACTATGTTGCGACAAGGAATCTACACAATTCTCAACTAGGCAAGGTACTACTTAGGTGGAGGATTACGAGAAATGGAACGGAGAAAGACACTGTTCTCATCCTGGAAAACAAGGTATCTGCATATAACTAAGCCTTTGATCAGTAAGAGACAAATGTCAATGAGTATGAAAATCACGATATAATAGCTAGCCAGAGCAGTCAAATCAAACTCCTGGAAGACCAGCTTTCGACAGGACAAAAGATGTTTACGTACGTGAGCTTCGATGTAAAAACTTGAGTGGGAAGCACTACACCCTCCTCGTTCGTTACAAAAGCATTACTGTTTTCAGTCTACTTCTGCAGGAGGGAGTGGTGGATTTGTGATGTGAGTGAAGTAAGGGTGCCTGATCTTCAATATATGGGCAGTGGGATGAATGCAGTCGGATTGAGTTAAAGTGGGAAATCATCAGTGAAGCACGAAGTCACACGCATCGAGTCAAACAATGGCGCTTGGCGAGCGACTTAAGCGTCGAATCACACGAAAATTTCAGGTCCAGTTTACCAAAACTCTTATTCTTTCCAGTGATGGAGACACTGGAAAAGTGTAAAGCGGACGCGCCACTCATACAAGAGTTACGCTGTTGACATAAAAAGCGGCCCTGTACTAGTGGACGAATGGTCTTGTAGGCCGTTCCCTCCATCGTGGTTTTCTAGAAGTTCCCCAAGTGGACAGTGCCTCATCATATTTAATCTGTTGTCCGTATGTCGTGTGCATTTAGGCCTCCCAGATTGCTAACTGGGTTTAAACGATTGCCCCCATTGTTTCACCCGAAGAGTTCCAGGCAAGACAAACATTCACGGTCATATCGCATCCCCATATCACTGTGGGCGACAGGTTACTAGGTTTATGGCAGCCAGTTTCCAAGCTGCCTTTCCAAGAGAGCTACCACCCCAAAAATTCTTATCCGGTTCATACACCTCAATGCAGATGCAGTCTCCGACTGCTGGAGGCCTTGTCGTCAGGTCCTACGTTGGTTCTCTCTGGTTTATAGTCAGAGTGGGTGTGCCTCAATTTCGCAGTCGAATATGTCGGCACCGTAAGCATATTTCAGCTAACCGGGAGGTACTAATATGTCGAAACCCCATAGCTCTGGTGTATTGTTCACAAAGCATTTGAAGGGTTCAGCTGTTGAATACATTGACATATGGACTGGTCGCGTAGCTTCTCTCTGCATAGACCAACTGCTCTTCTTCTAAGAGAGATCAACCACTAGGCCATACAAGATACTAGCCGAACTGTTCCTTTGATTCGGAAATCCTATCAATAATCAGGTATGGAATTCTGCTGCTAGTCCTGTCACAACGTGAAATGAGATAAGTAAGTGACGGGTGATGATTGTTGTTCATCTTGCAATTCTGTGAATTGATCAGTTGTAATTTTTCAGTGGAAACCTGTGTTGGAGCAATGCCTTGAAGGGTGGTCACAAAATTCGGATTTCAGTCATTACAATGTTTGTCATCTCAGTCCCGCTGAGCCTCATTTAGCACTGTATCTGGTTCCAAACAAATCCGCTTGTCTTTCTCACATCACTGTTTCGACTCTTCATAACCTAGGTGCATTTGACGAAACCAACTGCTGCGAGTGGTCGCTTCTCTATGGTGAACAAAAAAACCTTGGAGTTATTATAGTCCTCCAAGAACTGATCTCAGCTCTCCTTGATTTCAAGATTGCCCTGTCAACAGTTAAGGTCCCACAGTCAGTGAATTCCACGCCGGGTGGTTCAGCATCTTCGTTGGTTGAAATTAACACACAGTACTACTGTACATTCATGCTTGTTGCCCATATTTAACTTGTACGACTAACCGCAAACTTCGCACGATTCGCTGAGATGGATTGTCTTATTTGAAACGACATTCATCCAGTGTTGTCAAGGTCATTTGGCAGTCACTTCGGTTGTATAACCACCCACTAAATACTACTGGTGGATTTTTGATGGACACGCTTTTTACTTTATGTCATTGTCTCGTTCCCTCGTTCCCTCGTTCTACAGTCAGCCTACCCACCGTCCCACTACATTCGTCGTGTGCCTCAAAGAAAACTACACTTGTTCACCATAATTCAGTTGATCCAGCTACTGGTACTTTGTGCTTTCGGTTTCGCGCCCAATCCCTACGTGGAAATGGTGTTTCCTGTCCTGCTGGTCGGGCAAATCGTTTTCCGGTATGTCACACCTCACACGTAGTGCGACCAGCTGAATAGACTGTACATTGCGTCGGGTACAGTGTGGTGCATTTTTCGTATTTGTGCGTAACTCGAATAGATTTACAAAACGGAATGAACTATTATTGATTGTTGCAGCCCTGAAATAGATGGGATCATTTAACCCCTAATCTAATTGAAAAATGCATAATTTTCTCCATGGCGTTTCCCACTTTGATGGGGGCCATCTCCCAATCGATTCCATCGCCTATCCAGGTGACACAACTACTTTTCGAAAAAGTATATGTTGAATGGATCACCTCTGAAATCAACACATTACTAACAGCTATAATCAACAGAGTTACGGGATTATGAATTCCCAGAAGGGACCAACCTATGCGTTTAGCGCGCGTACATTCGAATTTTCGCGGACATCTATCTATCTGGTCTATTCAACGAACCAAGCTGTGTTGTCACTCATCCATGAAAACGTCTCAGTAGCACATGAAGCTGCCCTAGGTGACTAATTGTTAGTCCCAAACTGACGTGGCAACCAGCTGTGCCATTCCGATCAGACCACCTAGATGTCTGGTCAGCGCCGAATCCTATGGTGCTCTTGTGTATCTGACTCGTGGATGGATGCAGAGAGAACGTACAGCTGGCCACTGTGAACGATACCCGTCTAGCTGCTATGCCACCCGAAGGAAGTATGAGAGCTGGGATGCTGCCAGGTCGCTCAATCCTAGACGGGGAAGCCGACATGCAGAGGTTGGGTTCGGTCAGTAAATTCGAACGATACCGTATGACCGACGCCCATGTTGCAACAATCATATTCTGACACTCGTTTCCCACAGTATTATGAGAGCAGGGTGCGTAGGTTCGACAATCCCGAATATCAAAAGGAAGAATTGGGTTCGTAATTCTACGGTACTATCTACGCAAGGGTAAGCAAATGTGTACAACAAACATCAATTGTTCACGTTCGTAGCGTGAACAAGCTCACAGGTCTGTCACTGAACGGCACAGTGCAGTGTCAAAATCCGCAGATCTAACAACGGCGAGGGAAACGATGACTCGGTAGCGTGGGTTGCGGTCACGCTTCCGAAGGCAGTCTCGTGATTCTCGTTGGACGTGCGATCACACGGAACTCATGAGAAAACAAGTCAAGGCAGGCTCAGCAAACGGGACGTGAACGCATATGGGTAAGTAGGTCAGCAGTGTACATTCACACACAGTCACACATGTCCAATACACAAGTGTTGGAAAGGACGGCCTCTGTAGCATGGTGAGTGACGGGTACGAATAGGCCAAATAACTGGAGATTAAAAGTACATAGGCGGAGTACGCGAAAGAATGGGGGAACTATAAGGTCAAACAAATTAGATTCAACCCTACTCCTACGACACGATGTAACGAACAGACAAATTCGGTTATCTTGCTTGGCGTTTCTATGGGGTGTCGTCTATATGCAATGGGTTGCGTGGACGGAGCAGCTTTGAAACGGGACACTTTAATGAACCACGATTGATGAGAGAAGTTCTTAACCAATTTGCCCGTGTTCAAACCACTGCATTGCATTTGTCAGTCGTCCTACATGCGGGGCTATCCAACGTCTGCTTCATGTCAAACAATGAATCACAGCTAACTCAGCTGAGGCACTGCAAGACATGGAGGTGATCCGATGAAGACTTGACCAGAATCACCTCTACTCTCTCCCAAATGGATCTTCCAAGTGTAATGACTAAGTGATGTAAAGATACACTATCAAAGGGTGTATACTTTCCACCTACAGATCACTGTCGCGCTGTTGTCAGAAGACCAGTAGGTCCTTCACTGGCTCGCGTTTTGGATGACGGCCAGGCTGCTGCTGGGCAATTGTCTCACCTACTGAGCCAATTTCCTGACGGTCTGTAGACATTGGCCATACGGACTTGGTCTTAGAGGATTGTCTTTTTGTGAATATCTCCAGTTCACTTAGCAAGGATAGTATGGCGATAGTCCTCGAGCGCGGTTTAGACTACGTGGTGGGAATGGTACTGGTTTCCCAACAGCGATGATTCTCTCGTTTTAAATTAATAATGGCTACAATATAATTCTGATCCCTTTTGAAAATAGTGAATAAATTGACCACGACTGTAGATGAGCGAAATTTTATATTTTGTCCTTTTGTATTGCAGAGGACTTTTTAAACATGTTTCCTTGACCTTCTGTTGTAGGTTTCGGGTTAATACTTCGTTCACCTCACTTGACATGCGTTACTTCACACGAGAACCAAATGACTGAACGCTACAAACGTGCATGGTTCCTTTTAGGTGGAATTTAGGCTCTTCTTCCAATGGAATAAGGGAAACACGGTTCGAACTTCAGCACCAGGAACTTTCATGTTTGGAATCTGTGTGCCGTATGGTATTTCCCGCTCGCTTTGTACGTCTCCGTTGAGGGAACTTTTGAAAATTAGGAAGGAATATCGATGAAACAGCCTTCATTTGGGAGGAATTTCCTCCAGTAACAACGCATTCATACACGAGCAAAAATCCAATAAATTCGAAACGAAGTCAGCTTTTTCTCGGAACAGGCACAAATCTCCAAGGTCTAATATATTTGCGGAAATTCATGTTGGGTTCGGAAGTGGATAGCTGACATAGTACTCGAAGTATCGCAGTATATTTTGTTCACAGAACACCCTCGAGAACTGCTCCCACATGACAAGTGAGGATACTTGGATTTCTCCGGTATCTTATCAAATGGAATGAGAGGCGATTTATACTCAGGACAATTAGTTGAAGAATATCGTAAGTGGAAGGTTCAGCTGGGATTCATGAGGATCTCAGATTAAAAACAAATTAGTCTACAAGTGAGCCTTGTCATCAATTTGGTCCCTAAATGGAAGGAAAGTTGATGGGATCCCAGCGAAACCGGAAGTGTGCTGTTGAAGAGCTTTCAGTCGCCCTATGAGTAGTGTGGTGTATATGCAGCTCCTCTACAGTCCATTGCAGGGACAGTTTGAGGAAACGGTGTACGAGGCATACCGCTTCAGACGAACAAACTGGACCGGGCATCGTGTTTGTCTACTAGCGCACAGATACAGCATCAGTTGCAGTTAAGACTGTCATGACGCGCCCCCTAAACCCAGAGGTGCACCACGCTGGCTCCAAATCAATGGTTTCGGGTATCATTTTCTACCTCGTTTTTCTAATTAGACGATCCATATTTTCCTCCTACTTCCGTTATGCACCAAGGTTGTCGAACTCATTCTGAGTCCGCTCGGTTGGTNACTATAAGGTCAAACAAATTAGATTCAACCCTACTCCTACGACACGATGTAACGAACAGACAAATTCGGTTATCTTGCTTGGCGTTTCTATGGGGTGTCGTCTACATGCAATGGGTTGCGTGGACGGAGCAGCTTTGAAACGGGACACTTTAATGAACCACGATTGATGAGAGAAGTTCTTAACCAATTTGCCCGTGTTCAAACCACTGCATTGCATTTGTCAGTCGTCCTACATGCGGGGCTATCCAACGTCTGCTTCATGTCAAACAATGAATCACAGCTAACTCAGCTGAGGCACTGCAAGACATGGAGGTGATCCGATGAAGACTTGACCAGAATCACCTCTACTCTCTCCCAAATTGATCTTCCAAGTGTAATGACTAAGTGATGTAAAGATACACTATCAAAGGGTGTATACTTTCCACCTACAGATCACTGTCGCGCTGTTGTCAGAAGACCAGTAGGTCCTTCACTGGCTCGCGTTTTGGATGACGGCCAGGCTGCTGCTGGGCAATTGTCTCACCTACTGAGCCAATTTCCTGACGGTCTGTAGACATTGGCCATACGGACTTGGTCTTAGAGGATTGTCTTTTTGTGAATATCTCCAGTTCACTTAGCAAGGATAGTATGGCGATAGTCCTCGAGCGCGGTTTAGACTACGTGGTGGGAATGGTACTGGTTTCCCAACAGCGATGATTCTCTCGTTTTAAATTAATAATGGCTACAATATAATTCTGATCCCTTTTGAAAATAGTGAATAAATTGACCACGACTGTAGATGAGCGAAATTTTATATTTTGTCCTTTTGTATTGCAGAGGACTTTTTAAACATGTTTCCTTGACCTTCTGTTGTAGGTTTCGGGTTAATACTTCGTTCACCTCACTTGATATGCGTTACTTCACACGAGAACCAAATGACTGAACGCTACAAACGTGCATGGTTCCTTTTAGGTGGAATTTAGGCTCTTCTTCCAATGGAATAAGGGAAACACGGTTCGAACTTCAGCACCAGGAACTTTCATGTTTGGAATCTGTGTGCCGTATGGTATTTCCCGCTCGCTTTGTACGTCTCCGTTGAGGGAACTTTTGAAAATTAGGAAGGAATATCGATGAAACAGCCTTCATTTGGGAGGAATTTCCTCCAGTAACAACGCATTCATACACGAGCAAAAATCCAATAAATTCGAAACGAAGTCAGCTTTTTCTCGGAACAGGCACAAATCTCCAAGGTCTAATATATTTGCGGAAATTCATGTTGGGTTCGGAAGTGGATAGCTGACATAGTACTCGAAGTATCGCAGTATATTTTGTTCACAGAACACCCTCGAGAACTGCTCCCACATGACAAGTGAGGATACTTGGATTTCTCCGGTATCTTATCAAATGGAATGAGAGGCGATTTATACTCAGGACAATTAGTTGAAGAATATCGTAAGTGGAAGGTTCAGCTGGGATTCATGAGGATCTCAGATTAAAAACAAATTAGTCTACAAGTGAGCCTTGTCATCAGTTTGATCCCTAAATGGAAGGAAAGTTGATGGGATCCCAGCGAAACCGGAAGTGTGCTGTTGAAGAGCTTTCAGTCGCCCTGTGAGTAGTGTGGTGTATATGCAGCTCCTCTACAGTCCATTGCAGGGACAGTTTGAGGAAACGGTGTACGAGGCATACCGCTTCAGACGAACAAACTGGACCGGGCATCGTGTTTGTCTACTAGCGCACAGATACAGCATCAGTTGCAGTTAAGACTGTCATGACGCGCCCCCTAAACC